TATATTATTATTATCACTTTTCTGCAAGTGCAACAAAGATTTCTCCAACTGATTTCTGTGGAGTTTCTCACAACAGGCCTATGCTTAGCATCCATCATTGCTGCCCGTACTCTACTTACTCCTCAGTGTGGGGGTTTTCATCATACTCTGTCTTGAAACAGAGGTATGTCCTGATTTATATTATAAAGGTTTGGGGGTGGGGAGAACATTTGAGCACAAAACCCATTATGCAGATATATTTCCAGCTAGCTCCTCACAGAAAGGGACTTCATTCAAAAAGGAACAGCAAAATTAAAGTAAATTTTGCACTAAGACTGCATTTACAGCTTACAAGCTGTAAGTTCAGCTTAATTGCAAGCTGAACTGTTCAGCAGAAGACATATGAAACCCCATGATATTCTGATATTCTACCTTTCAGACTTAGGTTTTCAAGCAGAACCACAAATACCCCACAAAAAAAAAGACGACACACATACACAAAAATTCTTCACCCTAAAAACTTCACAGCAACCTTGGACATCCCAGTGGTTGACATTTTAAGTCATCATCAACATCAGAAATCTAAGGCAGCCAGAAGCATGCAGGAGCAGGGTGGACACAATACACAATCTAAAAGCAGAGGACTGCAAATACCACCCAGGCTGAAAACTTCTCCCTTTAAGCTTTGCTCTTAGCAGCACAGTCTGAATGGAAAGTCAGAGAAGACCTCAATTAAAAGTTCTAAAGCCCCAGCAGTTCTTCAAGAAATAAACAGGTAGGAAAACACCAAAACAACAGCTCTACTGTTGTAGTATCAGTATTTAAGTATTTCTGACTTTTTTGGCTGGGACTCAAAATCCCAGCAAGTTGCAACTCCTTCACAACAATTAGTAACACAGTAGTAACACATTTATTAATTTTGTACCTCTAAAAGCATTGTAAAATGAAGTTTTTTCACTCAGAAATACATTGTTAAACAATGAATTCTATTGAAAAGGCTTTAAAAATGCACATTAAATATATTTCTCTCTGCTGACTACTGTGTCCTTATTTAGAAATGCTGTATTTGCAAAAGAATCTCTGAAAATACTGAAAAAAATCATCGTAACCAATCCATCTTTGTTGGCTTAATTAAGCAAATGCTTTCCTCTAAAAAACCTCAAAGATTTCTATTTCTCCCAATAAGAGCTTTTAGTAAACAAATTCAAGAAGCTAATTTGCCATGTAACACAAACTGCAGCTCATTAGAGAGACAATCATGGATTTGAACCTTTTCCTCTAGAAAACTAACTTGAAAGGCAATATCTTAGGCATGATTATCATATACTTCCTCTTTCTCTTTATTTGCTTAGGATTTTGTTTCAAATTCAAGAGTGAAAGATTAACAATACCAGTTAGCAGTCCTGGGCTTGGATCGTACCAGAAACACAATCCTCTCTAATGCATCTGTAGCTCATGACCTGCTTGACAACTACAACAGTTCCAGCAGAGGCAGAACAGAGTGTTACGGTGAGCAAACCAGCTTAAACCACAGCATTTATTTTTCACCTGCTGTCTCACCAGTGTTTGTCAGAAACTCGTGGTCATTTTCTCCTTTATACAAAAGGCTAGATTACAAAAGGTAGACACCTCAGCATACAACACTAAACCTTATTAAAAGATGAGGTTTGCTATTGCCATGCATGGTAAATGATACCGCATCAAAATGATACTGTCAGAATGCCACGTTCAGATGCACTGCCATTTGACCAGTGCAACTGCTTTCCAGAAGAGGCCCCTTCAACATTTGTTTGTTCTGCTAATGCAAAATATCCTAGTATCTTCCTATTGCACGCAGACAAGCAGCAAGGATACATGAAGCTTGGAAGACCTATTTCCCTTGCTGCAAACCTTGAATTAATTGATTGATGTATAATCTTTTAGAACCCGAGTTAATCTGTGCTTTACTCAATGGTAAGGAACAAATTCATGGACAGTCTGAAAGTCATTATTTAATACACCTGTAGCCTGCAAGTTTAGCTAGAAGTGGCTAAAACAGACACTCTTTTCCCCACCAAG